CTACAGTAGCCCAGAAGGACAAACTAAACACTGGCTGCAGTTTGGGGCATTCACATTTTTTTCACAGCCACTGTAGTTTCTCCTTTGTGTTTGGAAGGGGAAGGTGAAGCGAGGGAGTTGCAATCTGCAATTACACTGCTAGGTGCCACTAAAACCTACACATTGGACTACACTGGACCTTTAAAATCTGGCTCAACACTTCTTATCTTATCTTCATGTGACCATGAACTTTTTTGTATTGTATCAATAATTTTTGCCATTTCTGTGTTTTTTTGTTAGATTTTTGTGAAGCGCTTCCTAACATTGTTTTGAAAAGTGCTTTATTAATTAAGTATGTATGCTATTCTTCTGAATAAGTTCTGGTTTTCTCTTGTAAATGCCCTCCTGTGCTGTGTTTTTTTTTTTATGTCAAAGAGAGTGACCTTCAAGAGTTAGGGGAGGCTCTGGATCTCCTTCCCGCTCCTGAACTCAAAGCTCTGGCTAAGACTTTCCATCTGGGAAACTCTGGGACTCAGAAACAGCAGCTAGTGGACGGACTTCTCCGTCTCAGCAGGCAAAAGTCCCTCTTCTCTCTGACTCCTGCTCAAAGCAACATCGGGACTGTCATCCTTAAAAGGTGAGTTGATCAAATAGATTGTGTTCATTTGTAGTGTTAGTATTGCAGTGATGATCTCACCCCTGTTCTCTCTAACCTTAAAGGGCAAAGCAGCTTGCGGGTTCCTGCGTTCGTCTGTGTCGTGGTCCTCGGGCTGTCTTCTCTCGTATCCTTCTACTCTTCTCTCTGACAGACACCATGGATGAGGAGGAGATGGCGGCTGGTGGGCAGAGCCAGCTCTTCACCATCCTGCTGGTCAACTCCGGACGTCTGGCCTTCCCGGACTACACAGTGCAGCGTACAGCCAAGGTGTTCCAGGACAGAGAGGATCTTATCAGGTGAGCGTCTGCCAGAGGAGTCAAATGGAGTTTATTGTATTTTATCTACGCAGGATTGCCAGGAATAATCATGATTCTATCCGTCACACCAGATATGAAGCAGCCATGCGAGCCCTGCAAGAGGTAGTTTCAGCTATGCAGGGAGGTCAGTGGGAAGACGCCATGGAGCTTTACACAGCTGCCAAAAATGCCTGGCAGGAGCTGAGGAAAAACCATGACCTAAGGTAACATTACACGTGCTTCTGTCTAAAACAATGATACACACTCTCTGGATGTTTTTGTAATGTTATCATTGTTTTGTATAGTCACCAGGAGAAGCTGCCTGTGTTCCTGCGCAGCTTCACTACAGGGTGGGCTTACACTCGTATCTTATCACGAGGGGTGGAGATCTTGCAGAGGCTACGTCGCTATGAGGTTTTCTGACGTTACCCACTCACTCAAATTCAAGCTAAAGTTAACAGTATGTCATAGTTAAAGATGTTATGGGTCTTCCTTTGTGTTGCAGGAAGCAATAGAAGAGCTGAGGTCCTTACTGTCGCAGTCTGTTTTCTGTCCTGACAGCCGAGGGCGGTGGTGGGACAGACTGGCACTAAACCTTCACCAGCACCTCAAAAAACCTGAGCAAGTGAGAACCAGCATCTATGGTTCCATTAATCTCTTCAAGACATATTTAATCATTTGCCTCCTTGTGTGACATTGTGCTCAGTAATAGTTGTTTTCATTTGTTTGACAGTGGTCTATTTTCTATTGCTCCTAGGTTATTTGTGCTATCAGAGATGGGCTGTCAGACCCTCTGGTGCGAACTGGACATAAACTCTCTCTTCATCAGAGAGCTGTTCGGATGAAAGAGTCTGCAAGCTTTAAAAAGTACCGCCTGCAACTAAAAGACCTTCCCACTATCCACGTCCAAGATGTAAAACATGTAAGTTTAGCACAATATGTCAGTATTTAGATTCGCAGGAAAAAAACAACTTAATTGTTGGGTGTATGGCAAACATTAGATATAGAATAGATGTTAGAGCCTGGCCAATATTTTTGAATTTTTGAGCTGGAATGAAAATGATTTTGCGGCAATATGACTGTGCAAAGGTACTCAGAAGGCTGCTTTCTTAAGCAAATCAAAGTCAAAGTCAAAGTCAAAGTCAGCTTTATTGTCAATTACTTCACATGCACCAGACATATAAGGTAATCGAGAGGACGTTTCTCACTCTCCCACAATAAAAGCTTTCTGACAGCCTGGAGGATGAAGCTTTTAGTGAGTCAAAATAACTTTATTAAAAAATAATTAAGTTAAATATTCTTTAAAATGTTAAATAATTTAACATATAGGCTACAATGTCAACCAATCCTAGATATGCACACTGAGAAAATAAAAAATAAATAAAAATAAAATAAGTAGCTAAACATCAGTACTGTAAGAACTACAATCCTTTTTTCATCATATACCTGAAAAAAACTGTTTTCATATCGGTGTATATCAGATTACATAGACACAGGTCAATAATATCAGTCGGGCTCTAATAGATATATAATTAACTGTTTGTTCTTGTCCGCAGGTGACCATCCGGGGACAGCTGTTCCCTCATGAAGGGGGTATGGGGAAATCTAAGTTTCTTATACCAGCAAATGGAGAGGGGGGAGAGAGTGCTAATGCTACTGTAATAGGCTCTGTGGAAGAGCTGTCTTTAGCACACTACCGCCAACAAGACTTTGACCAGGGTGAGCAGTCCTGCTTCATTTATTTAAAATATTTCACTATCCTTTCATCACCCTAACGTTGTGTTGCCACTGTTAATGTAACAGGGATCCATGGAGAGGGCTCAACATTCTCAACATTGTTTGCTCTGCTGTTGTGGGACATCATTTTTATGGAGGGTATTCCAGATGTTTTCAGAAATCCGTACCAGGTAATGTTAGCTCTACATCTATAATATTTGTGGGATAACTGTGCATGTATACCAGCTTAACTCATCTTCCTTTCTTATCACAGACATGTCCACTGGATCTTTACACTGACTGTTTCTATGAGAACAGAAAAGAGGCGATCGATTCTCGTGTGCAGTTAATTCACGAGGCATCCGTGGAGACGTTGCATGACATGTTGGAAGATGTCTGGACCTCCCAGGAGGGTAAAGTGTGTTCATTGGTCAGCTGGGAGCGTTTCTCATCCCTTCAACAAGCACAGGTATCTACTGGCACTCTTGTAAATATACACTCAGTGGCCACTTTACTGAGTACACCTGTAAAATCGAATGTAATTCAATACAACAGCTCGGCCACAAATTCAATAAGATTTTCCCACCCCATTTACAGACATGAGGGTGGATAAATGTTATATATATAGTTCAGTCCAGAACACGACCTCTACTAACTATGACCTCAATAATAAACCTGTAGTTACATTAATACCTCTGTATGTGTGTATATCACATCATAAATTACGTCTAGTTAGTACACTGGTAAAGGAAATGCAAATATGCTATGATAGATGACATTACTGTAGGTAATAACATGGTACTAACTTAACCACTTTTATAATCTATTTGCAGTCTCTTGTGTCATGCATGGGTGGAGCTTTCTTAGGAGGGGTAATAGCACGGATGTCAAAAGACTACAGACACTGCCGTGGAGGTTTGCCAGATCTAATAGTGTGGAACACTTCAAACAACAGCTACAAGGTGAAATCACTTCACATCATGGCTCTTTGAATTACATATTTTCTTTTGTGTATAGATTCAGACGCTCTGTGGTAAACTGATTATTTTAAGTCCAAGCACATGGATTATGGCAGCATGCAATGTGACATTGGATGTCTTGTTGTTGTAGCTGGTGGAAGTGAAGGGGCCCAATGACCGGCTGTCCCAGAAGCAACAGATCTGGCTGGATGAGCTACAGAAACTGGGGGCTGATGTGGAGGTGTGTCACGTGGAGGCTACTGGAGCCAGAGGAGTTCGTCTGGAATAAACATACAGCGAAGAACTGATTGATAACACTGCTGCTAACTGTTGTGTGGTCAAAATGGAAACATCAGCTGATAGAATTTCTGAAAAAAAAACAAATGATCTTGGTGCTTTTTCTGATTCTGGTCATCTTGAACAGATGTTGATGTTGAAATCTCAATTTAGTTACCATATATCATAAATTTAATCCTAATCCTTGAGAATAGGGAATGTCATAGCAAGGAGTATATCTTGTGATACGTGGCTTATCATCAGGGAAACCACTACCTTCAATAGGAAGAGGTGCATCATGAGATAAAGATCATCACTGAGAACTGCCAGGACCAGAAATAGCCCGCTTACAGATCATCACAGCTGATGCATGACAGGATCCAACAACCACGCCAAACTGATGGTGTTTCCTTTTCTTTGGCAACACTATGTTCTCAGGATCTTGGGTTGCCAAGCAACGAAAGCTCGCATTTCATTGGCTCTCTACAAATTTGTTATGCAAGTAATTACTGTAATATGCCGATAAATATGTAATTTTGCCACTACTCTTGCAAGGCAAAAACATCAGTTGGGTACCGAGAAATAAAATAATTGGGTTTTTATGTTGCCATTTGTAAAATGTCAGAAAATAGTGAGAATGCCTATCATAGTTTCTTAGACCCTCAAATCATCATCTGATTGCTTGTTTGGTCCGACCAACAGTACAAAACCCAAATTATTCAGCTGTACACGAACCACATACGACAAAGAACGGCAAATCCTCATAATCGAGAAGCTGGAACTTGGCAATAAACTTAACTGATCATTAATTAACTTTCTGTTGATTCAATTAATCAACAAAATGTTTTATTTTTGAGACACATGTAACTGTATTGATGTCTAAAATGTGTCCAACCCTAATGGTAAATGTCCACTGAAAGTATTAAAAGAAAACGTTGGTATCATGTTCCTATTTTTTAACGTGCACGTAATGGTGGAGGGAAAAGAATAAAAATTCCTTGCATGCACACATATCATAACACGGGTTAGTGCTGTTGCCTGGGCGTGCAGTAATGTATGCAGGCCTGGATCATGGATGCACTTTGGGGGGGGGAAGGGTTGCCAGGCGGCCCTGCGTCTGACGTCATGACGCTGGAGAGAGGAGGCGATGAGGAGGAAGGTGCAATAAACACACAGGGCGTCTGCGCCTATCTAAGTAGGACAATAAAGTGAAAACGGCATCAATGCTTTAACAATGGATTTGGCAGATATGCTTCTTCTTAAAGTTTTCCTCTTCGCGTGCTTGCTAAACTACACCCAAGGTGAGTGCGGCGTTTTTTTTCTCGGGGTAAAAAAATATAAAAATAAATAAAATAACCTCACAAGTTGTGTTAAATCCACGGAGCGCAGAAAGGCTGATATAGCCGCCGTTAGCTAACAGGAGGGATCAGCGGGGCCTGCTTGTTATGAAGAGGACTGCACCCTTTTCAGCCCCGTTACTTCAACCCAACAAACCACACACGGAGCAAAAGCTGACTCGGATCGGTGCGGTCGATTGCAACCAACCCACATCGCGGAGTGTTTTCCGCCGGTTGTCACCGTGTTTGTTCGTTGTCAGACTCGGCTCGGTGGTGTTGTTACCGTGCGGACAGAGCCGACAGCCATTGTTGTGAGCAGACGGGAGATGCCGACTGGTGAACGGACCCGTTAGCTCCTGTGCTAGCTCACACTTGAGCCGCTAACATGTCGATTCCTCGTTGAAATAAAAACCCCACACAACGTTATGCGCTGATATTGTGTTACTCTGCATCGTGCCCGCGGTTAACATTTGTTTGACACAAGTTTTTTTATGTTCCCTGGCGTTATTTCGATTTTTCTGGTGCTGATAGCTGGTCAATAATGTGTTTTATGCTGTTCTCTATTGTAACCGAGAGCCGCAGTAAGTGGAGTCTTATTTAGAAAATAATCTGTATGTGTGATTGTTTTTGTTCTTGTGGGAATTAAATTGCCCCTTTCGTAAAAATGCTGTTTTGGTTTGTGATTTACCTCTGGCAGCATACACCTGCTATATACTGCTACCGTGTTTATACATCTTATATTAGCGAAATAAAATAAGATATGTAGGATTTTGTTTGATTAAAGTCTCAGTCAGCTGCAGGGTCCATATTTATATTAAAGCATCGGGAATGGTTTTAATCTCTTTACGGATCCTTTGTCAAACTGTCAGAAAGTAGCAGTCACAACTTTTTTCACATTATAGGGCCATCAAATGATTGTATGTGATTGTTCTGCACCATGTAATTCTATTAATCTTATGTTGTTTTTTCCAAATATTGCAATATGGCCATGTGCAGTTTGTTTTGATAAAGAGAAAATGTGTGAGGAAACATTATAATTAAGTCCTGTAGTGCTGCAGAGGTTCCCTGGAACTATAGATCTTATTTTCCAGATGTGAGAGAACCTGTTTGTTGCTACAGACCCCAACAAATGTCACATTATTATGATGTGAACCGTTGTTTCAGAGAAAATGAACATTTTGATGCAAAAATAGCAATTCCCTCTAACTGTAACTCATTTCGCAATCGCAAATGTAGGAAACAAGAATCTTTTGTGTTTGCGATATTCATTTGTTAAATTAAGATATTTCAGAGTAGTCGTGGCCTTCACTTCTCATGCTCACCTCAATGAAAAATTTAATGTTAGCGCCTAAATATTTCATAATGCACATGAACAGAGAACTAGCTGAAGCCTGGTCTACTTACCCATCTTTGTTACACAGTTGCACTGAATCCTGTAATTTATGGCTCACTAGTCAGGCATAATTACCTGTCAGACGGTACTAATTATATATACTGCATTCACTGAAAATACTTTATTTTGGTTTATATGTTATGGGGCAAGATCTGATCTTACAGATCCACCAGCTGTCTAAACATCAGAAACAAAGTAACTTTAAGAAGGGTGGAATTGGCCCTAAACAAAATTACTATGTTTTCTCGAAGTGGAGTTTGTCAGACTGTTTTTGAGTGTGAAACAGTTAGTGAAATGGGTGGAGGTGCTCGAGAATCTTTTTCCTTCGAGCTCGCCACCCACTCTTCTGGTGGCAAAATAATAATGCTGTGACGCTGGGGGCTGTTGTTGAGCACAGCTCCAAAACTGGCATCCATTTGTCTTAAATGGATTTAGCTGAAAATAGGCACCTACATTCTCCTAACATGTACCATGTCTCAGTTATTTACCGTAAAATGTCGTTATTCTCCAGTGTCACTGTAAGGCCCTGAATTTGAGTATCTAATGCTTGAAATGCATTGCCTAACAAACAAAACAAGCCTTTTTAAGTTTAACTTCCATCTGCTCAGAAAAGTACATGTGACAGACACACTGTTACAGACTTTCTTCTTTAATTCATATTCTGTATTATGAGATCTCTGGCTCATCTATGTACACAATTTATTTCTGATCCAATTAGATACAGTACATACATGTACAACCTAGACAAAGAGATTGTATCTGTACACCTGGGATGGCTGTTTTTGTTGTTGTCTTTACTTGATTCTATAAGGATATAAGATTAAGATAAGAATTTCATTAATGTTCATAAGGTGTGTATTTTCATTGTTTGTGCTGATAACAGGAGTTCATGTGTTGTTGTTTTTTCCACAGGACACTACAGAAACCCCCTGAACAAGTACATCCGTCACTATGAAGGCCTGTCCTACGAAACGGAGCTTTTGCACAGCAACCATGAGAGGGCCAAGAGGGCACTCACTCATGAAGACAAGTTCCTTCACTTAGATTTTCATGCCCATGGAAGGTTTGTCAGTTTTTCCAGATATTACTCTAAAGGGAAAATCTGTCTGGATCTCTCTCTATTTTTATGTCTCCTCATCTATGTCTTTATTTCTTGTCTGTGTATTTATTTGCAGAGCTCATCCCATATGTCCATATTGTTTATGATTAAAGATGGAGGTTAGCTGTAGCAGAGATTTGCAGTGTGATTCACAGTTATTTACATTTAATCCTGTTTTATGAAATCACAAAGCTGGCTGGGGTCTTCACACTGACTCTGTGGTCAGGAGGGATTTAAATCTCAGCATTGGATTCTTTCTCTAAAGTTGCTATGGTCTCAGTTAAGGGAATACCAGACATTACCTAGTTTCAGCCTCTCAGTTGTGAGGATTTGCTGCTTGATTGGGCTTCTGTGATAGTAAACTGATCATTTTTGGGCATGGGATTGTTGGTCGGACTTAATTTGGGCATTAGATTGTAACAGGCTTTTTTTTTTACTGCTGTTTGTCATTTTTTATTTATTTCCCCCCACAATCTAAATACATGCAGGTCAGGTGAAGTAGAAGCTGGTAATCTGTTTGTGCATATATTAGGTAGCGCTGTGATGGATCAGGTGTTTGCAGGGTGTTTCTGTACACTTGATACCTGGGTGGGAACCCCCTGAAGCCATAAATGGCTGGATTGATGGACTCATGTAGTCCTTGTCATGGTTCTTTATCCAGCATTATGACAAATTGGTGTTATTCAGTAGAAAGTGTCTACATTCTCCATGACAAAGTCAAGACCATCTGGCTGGGAGCTTGGCAATTGCTGGCTCTTCGTCCTGCCGTGTAGCACGGCCTGCTGTTCCCAAACTCTGATGCTGCTTAATAGGGGAGAGAACGATAAGAGCCTGTGCAAACAAACACAAACAAGGAAGAGGTCTGTTCCTTTGAAAAGCAAGAATGTGTCAGTTTCTTTCGCTTTGATTCATGACAAAGCTAGAGACACAACTCAGATTCTAACAGTTAATTTGCAACACCCCATCTTCCTTCGCTTGTACGTGTTGACTGATTGAATTGTCATGCACCTTACATTTTCCCAGAGATTAAGTCATATTAGAAAACAACTGTGGTGCAATAGATTCTTTATACGCACAGGAGCAGATTTTTATGCCTGGCTTACAGAACAGTAACTTACACACAATACAATCATACAATAAGAGCACTGTGTAGGTGTTACATGATACCCAAGGTTTACTGTAGCATCTTTGTTTCTCTGCCATATGTTTAATCACAAAAAACAGCATTGTTTCAAGATGTCCTGATTTTCTGTTCCCTCTGTTACAAGATGAAGACTGCAGTTTCCCTTGTGCAACAGAAAACAGCTTAGATGTTTTCTCTGCTAAACCATGCCCTTCCTTTTCCCTTTTCCCCCCTTTCATTAGCATTCTCCTTTTTCTCAAAGGCTGGGTGAATATTGCTTACCTCCCAAAGTGAGACCCAATTCCGATCCAAATCCATAGGCTCACACTCTGTGACATGAATACTATCAGCAGACAGTTTGGGGACATCGCAGAAACAAACTTCTCACACTATAGATAACACTGTTGTCCCACATTGTAACCTGTGTCATCACATACAGATGTCTTCCTATTGTATATAGTTTTTATGTCTTTGATTTCAGGCATTTTAATTTACGAATGAAGAGGGATACCACCATGTTTGCCCAAGATTTGAAGGTGGATGTTTCAGGAGAAGAGATTCCATATGATACCTCTCATATCTACACTGGAGAAATCTATGGTAAGATTGTCCTTCTCATTTTAATATACTAGTTTTTATGCGTCTGAAACTTGAACTTTGAACTGATCTTGTGTGAATCCTCTGTGACAATCCTCTGTAATTCCCAGGGGAGAAAGGTACCCTGACTCATGGCGCCATTGTGGATGGTAAGTTTGAGGGCTTCATTCAGAGCTACCACGGTACCTACTACGTGGAGCCTGCTGAGAGATACCTGGGGGCAAAAGACGTGCCCTTCCACTCAGTCATCTATCACGAAGACGACATACGTGAGTCCCCAGCAACTACACAAATACTAAATACTTTGATAGTCCATTTTATTGTAATGATTGAGTATGTGTAATTGGATGCACGCATATTTAAGTGTATGGTGGGGAAAGTGCAAGGTTAGGGCAGCTGAGCTGATGGAGGCAGACTGGTGTGATCGCCCTCCTGGGAGCATGCATACCAGGGGTGCTCATTAGCTGAGTAACACGATCTTTCTCTCAGGCTACTGGCTCCTTTTAGCAGTCTTTACAATGTTGGTACTGATAGAGAGCACAAAGCCTACTTTACTACACTGGCACCCCCTAATTTGAAATCAACTGTGTACATATAGTATGTGGCTGAGGGGCAAATTAAACAGAAATGTGAGTGGAATCACTAATAAGAGCGACGGGAAAGTAACAGCTCACATAGCAAAGCTAGGCTCAAGTGGCGTGTAAGTACATCCATTAGCTGATCATGAATAGCGCCAGAAATAGACTGACTCAGGGGGTTAAGTAGCTAACATTGTCTCCCATAATCCTAACAGTGTTGTGTCTGCCTCTCTCACTCAGACTACCCGCACAAGTACGGCCCAGAGGGAGGCTGTGCTGATAGCTCAGTGTTTGAAAGGATGAAGAAGTACCAAGCCTCTGCCGTAGAGATGCCACCCAAGGTGAACTTAACCACACACCACAGTTAAACCCTTATAGTGTCTAGGGATAGTTCGGCTGAACAGGCAGGGTCAAAGATACCCGCGGATGGCCTTTTTTGAGTCTCTGTGCATTTTTAAGTTATATTAAGTGATGAAAATAGCTTTTCTCAGCTTAATTAATGGACGTCTACACGATTAGTTAGTAGCTCATCTGAATAGCAGGGAAAAAATTGGGGTGTCCATGAAAGTATTATCCTTATGGGAATTTTATATTTTAAAACTCAAGTTAAGCTTGTAAGCTTGTCCAATAAGTTTGGATACTGTATTTTGAACTAGTCAAACATTAGTTAACCCTTACATTTGAAACCCCCTTCTCACGTTTTTTTCTAATCCAAGCGAAGATGGTAGATGGTCCTCGATCAGTTTGTACCACGTGACCGAAGGCTGTCCCAGGAAAGATTTTCCTAGTTGACTAATAGTTGTTAGTTCAAGCCATTAGTTGACTAGAAGTCGAATATTTATGTAATTTAATTATTTAAATATATAATATATATATATATATATATATATATATTATATATATATATATATATAATATATATATATATTTAATTATTTAAATATTTATATATAATATAGTATTATTTTATTATTTATATATATATATATATATATATATATATAAATATATATAATATATTATATATACTATTTAATTATTTAAATATATATATATATATATATATATTTAATTATTTAATATATATATACATGATATATATAGTGATATAGTATATATAGTATCTAACAGCCGTCTGTATGAATGGAAAAAAGTCAATTAAAAACACAGAATAAATAACTTCACAAAAACAAATACTCGCAAACTAACTGACACAATGGATGATGTAAAAAAGTTACTTACTGTACAAATCAACTCACTCCAGACACACGCCTCTCCCATTTTATGCCTCTCCTGTCTCTGCCTGAAACCGCAGTGTCTAGTCCTGGTTGGAGCCACTGTAAATAATTTGGTCTCCGGTGACATTGAAGGCGGTGTTTGGTCCTGGCCGTGGTCACTGAGAGGCTGCTCTGGCTATGGTGCTCATACTGGCCCACACTCTAATGCTAGTGGTGTTACGACCTCCCCTGGTTCTCGCAGTCCGGGCACCGTCAGCTAATAGAACCACTAACTAGCTAGTAGCAGTAGCTAGTACAGTTAGCACATGCAGCAGTGCTGTAGTATTAGGGTACGGCCCTAACATGAACTTAAAATAAACAAATGTATTATTACCTATATTAATATATATTGATATTTCTTTCCACTATATCTCCCCCCAACCAAATCATTCCTTTAAGTATACATTTTGTGCTTTGGTCCTATTATTTCATCCTTTTTTCCCACCATAAATAAGTAAGAGACATTTACAGTACAGTATGTTCCTCTGTGGAGTTGGAGTTCATGAACATACAGCAACTACTGCCTAAAAATACCCGACATAATTTATTTAGTCACTGTTTGGTTGAAAATGCTATATATATGTTTTATTTAACTGTCTACTTCCTACTCTCCATCTCTGATGCTGCTCACCCCAGGAGCTCCACACTATGGTGGAATCTAATGACCCCGTGCTGCTGAGGAAGAAGAGGATGGCCCAGGTTGAGAAAAACACCTGCCAGCTTTTCATTCAGACTGACCACCTCTTCTACAAGTACTACAAGACCAGAGAGGCTGTCATTGCTCAGGTGATACACAGTCACTTTTACTCACACATGCTACCATGGTGCTGTTAGAATTAGATTTACACAATCTGTATATGGGATTTTTCTTACATTGGTTGAGAGGCATATTTTTAACCAAGAGTATAAAGGCTAATTAGTATCAGAATAATAACACCTCTTACTCAGTGCAAGAGCTGACTCATAACACTTACAATAGAGGAACAAAACTAACTATAAATCCATCTAAAAAATACAAATAATCACTCCAATTAGGGTTGTATGTAGTAATGCCTCGTTTTCTGTTAAATTTTAAAACTAGTCCACAACAAATGGCAAATGTCCATAAAAGTATAATTCCCCTATAAAGATGGAATGTTTAAGGAATAGTTTGACATTTTTGGAAATATGAGTATTTGCATTTTGGCAGAGAGTTAGAATATCAGTACCAAAACAGTCAGTTAAGATATAACAATTAGGGAGCTTTGGAGGTTCTGGTAGGTGTATTTAGTTACCTTTTGACAGCTGAGGCTATTTAATTGGGCACATATCATTTTTCACGAGCTACTTTGCTCAAAACAGAATGTCCTGGTTCAAAACTATTACGTTTATATGTTTAGATTATTGATATGATATGAATTAAAGTTTAGGGATGTTTCTACCTCTGACGTGATGCAGTCCAATATGCAGTAATAATTCTTAGGATGGGCTCGGGGCAGTTAGCTCTAGTTACTCAATTCCTTATTATTTACCTCTTTACTCTATATGTAAACTGTGCATTCATTGTTTTCTACATTCTAGTTTTACACAGTATGGTTTAAATCTTTGTCTTTCAGATCTCCAGTCACGTCAAGGCCATTGATGCTATCTATCAGGGCACAGACTTCATGGGCATTCGCAACATAAGCTTCATGGTGAAAAGGATCAGGGTAAGCCTTGTACAGATTTCAAGTCCTGTTGTTGATTTCTTCCCTCTGAACTCGCCGTCACCCTCTTTGTGTAGATAAACACCACCAGTGACGAGAGGGACAGGTCCAACCCGTTCCGCTTCGCCAACATCGGGGTGGAGAAGTTCCTGGAGCTGAACTCGGAGCAGAACCATGATGACTACTGCTTGGCTTATGTTTTCACCGACAGAGACTTTGATGACGGGGTGTTGGGTTTGGCCTGGGTCGGAGCCCCTTCAGGTACTGAAAGGCAGTCGGTGTGTCATCTGTGATCAGCAACTGCAATAAAAATCTGGCCTATTTTTAAACCTTAGTACAACACATCATATTCTTTGTACTGGGTTGTAGGCCCATTATCGGTAGGAACACCCAGTCCAAAGATTATTCAAGGAAAAGCATCCGTGATTTACAGTATAAGTTAATTCTGACTTATCTACATTGTACATTGCAGCTACAAGAAGGAAAAGTGTCAGTGGTATTTGGGATTTCAAATGCTGATTGATTGAGACTGTTATGAGAACCAACTGCAGCTTCAAATATCAACTCAGATAATATGCAGACGTGATGATTCCCAAAGGTTTGCTTGCACTCTGTTACTGGTGTGGTAAAGTGAAATAGCAACATTGATTGAAAAGTTGTCATGGCTTTAATCAGATTCTCCCTCCCTCAATGAGTAAAATCTTTCATGTTTTGTAGCTGTGGTCTGAAAGAAGGTTTGCTCCAACTTGTGCTTTTTATTTAACAGGGAGCTCCGGAGGCATCTGTGAAAAAAGCAAGCTCTACTCGGACGGAAAAAAGAAGTCCCTCAACACTGGTATAATCACTGTACAGAACTATGCCTCCCACGTACCTCCAAAAGTCTCCCATATCACTTTTGCACATGAAGTAGGACACAACTTTGGCTCCCCGGTGAGTTACTTAGATTTGCCACATTAATGCACGGTGAGAAGGAATTTATTAGGCTCCTACACTTTGTCCCTTCTTCTTTTTAACCCTGTGATTTCTTTTTTTCCTTCTCGCTCTCAGCATGACTCTGGATCTGAGTGCACCCCAGGAGAATCCAAAAGTCAAGACAAGAAGGAGAAGGGCAATTATATCATGTATGCAAGAGCTACTTCAGGAGACAAGCTCAACAACAATAAGTTCTCCATCTGTAGCGTGCGCAACATCAGCCAGGTGCTGGAGAAAAAGAGAAGCAACTGTTTTGTCGGTACGTCATTCTGTTTTAGTCCGAACTAGGACCTTCATCTTGACAATTTAAGTCCAGTTAATTTTAAACCAAAATATAATTACACTTTCCCTGTAATGATGAGATTTCAACCAACCTTAATTAGTTAATTAGCTTGTAATAGCTTTGAAAAGCAATCTTGGCATTATTCCAGTGTTATATTTGCTGACAGTATTTCTTGTCACACTCTCACAACTCTCTAACCAGTATCATAACAAAACAAAACATTCACTCAATCACTTAACCATATGATTGGCATGACTAAAAAGCTTATTCTGTTTTGCACATGCGGTTCAAAGTCTGCCTTACACTTGCTCCAACACACTGACAAAGATTATCTGTTTGAGTGTGATGTTGCATTGGGCTGTCAAGGATCTGTCTCTTTTTGAACACTTTGATTTTGTTTCCCTCTTTTTGCAGCTTCTCATTTTCTTCACAGCAATATTTGTTTGGTTTGGTTTTGTAATGAGACAGCTTTCATAGTAAATGTCTGATTCTCATACACTTTTAGCCCTCAGTACAAAAAGTCAAAGTATGAAAGAACGTGTTCCAGTTTTTGCGGACCGGACTCAGTGTTTATTTTTTCCTTCCCCAAACAGAGTCTGGCCAGCCCATCTGTGGAAACGGCCTGGTGGAGCCAGGAGAGGAGTGTGACTGTGGCTACAGTGATCAGTGCAGGGACCAGTGCTGCTATGACGCCAACCAGGCGGACAACAAGAAGTGCAAATTAAAGCCCAACAAAGTCTGCAGGTAGATGTGGATGTTGTTTTTCATATTTCACAAGGAAGATCTGCCAGCTAATTTGTGATAAGTCTCAGCTGAACACTTTTTCTTTCCCACTAGTCCCAGCCAGGGTCCTTGTTGTACTGCTGAGTGCTCCTACAAGGGTCGTAACGAGAAGTGTCGAGAGGAGTCAGAGTGCGCTCACCAGGGCATGTGTAATGGAGTCACTCCCCAGTGCCCCACATCTGAGCCCAAGGCCAACTTCACTGCCTGCCACGGAGAGACTCAAGTCTGCCTCAACGGGGTGAGTGGCTGAAGACTTCACAACTGGAAGAACCCGTTGTTATAGCAACTTTATATTCATACCAGTCAGTGTCTGATCTCGCCTTTCCTCATGCTCCTCCCCCGCAGGGCTGCTCCGGCTCCATCTGCGAGAAGTATGGGCTTGAGGCGTGCACCTGTGCCAGCCAAGATGGCAAAGACGAGACCGAGCTTTGCCACGTGTGCTGCATGGAGAAGAGTGAGTCACTTAGCCTTTCCCCCACCTTGCTAATTAGCATTTTCTTTTTATAAAATGGTCATTTGAATTGTTTTGAATTGTTTTGAATTGTCTGTGATTCATCTCCACAGTGAATCCCAACACATGCAGCAGCACAGGATCTGAGCGCCTGGCTCGTTTCTTCAATAAGAAGGTGACCACGCTGCCGGCCGGCTCGCCTTGTAACGACTTCAAGGGCTACTGTGACGTGTTCATGAAGTGTCGTCTGGTGGATGCAGACGGACCCCTGGCCAGGTTGAAGAAGGCCATCTTCAACCCAGAGCTCTATGAGAACATTGCAGAGTGGATTGTTGTATGTATCAACTTCTTGTTTCTGATTGGATGATTAGTTTATAATTATGAGGTTGTTTGTGTTGATTGTGCTTGATTTGCGCTTCGTTCTCTTCCTAGGCCCATTGGTGGGCAGTGTTATTGATGGGTATCGCCCTCATCATGCTCATGGCTGGCTTCATTAAGATCTGTAGTGTGCATACACCGAGCAGTAACCCCAAACTACCCCCTCCCAAACCACTTCCAGGTGAGTCCAGAGATTTGAAAAGAAAGTCAATCATACCAGAGAAAATGTAGCTTTCACATGTTTATTTATGCAAACTTAAACATGTGGTTGACAAACCATGTGTTTGAAGTTTGTTCACATATATTTCTTTATAACTGATGATGTACCACCTGCCACTCCACTGCACTGAAGCATGTTGTTCATCTGCAGGTTGTTGTATTGAAGGTGTTAGTGATATTATGTCCATCCACTGAATAAAAAATGTTCTGGTTGTTGCCTCTGTTGAGGCACAGGCATAGTTTGTTAAATGAAAAATGAAGAAAATATATGTGGTAGATAATTAACTTGCCTTTTAACCAGAGACTTGTACTATGAACCAGGTTCAACATTCCCAGGATATCTTTTCCTTATCTGGCTTCACTAACCCTATCAACTGCAATCTATGAATGAATGTCATAAAAGTAGTACTTAGTAACATCTTTATTGCCATACCACACACTGGGACTTTGGTCTGTCCCAGAGGAAAGATGAAAAGCGTGAAAGAAGTGTGTTAAAATCTTTCCTTACCAAACAAAAACTGCAGTCCTGGGTCAGATCTGGTTCAGCAACCAAAATAGGCTGCGTCAAAAATGCAGTATTGGTATTATTGTACCCTTATTTATTTATTTATTTATT